GGAAAAGGAGAAAATATGAGAAACTGGAAAAATGGAAATAAAGTGTTTGTAAATGGGGAGGGGAGGGGGGGTGAAGGGAGGGCAGGGACAAGGGGAAAAAATGAGAACCAAGACCTGTCATGTGAAGGTACAGGACCCCAGTAATGAATGTAACTGTACTCTATACCTAGATTGTACCAATAAACTCAATAAAAAGAAAAAAAATAGAGCTGTGAAACTGGAAGCCAGTTTAATAATCTTAAGCATGTACATAATTTATTGATTTAAAGAAGCAACTGAATAGTTTCATCATGGAATATTTACATTAAATAAGAAATATTTAACTGAATGATTAATAAATATTTACTTTTTCTTTTTAAATATGATGATATGGTTAATTTGTGTTAAAATTCATAACATTTTAGAGGCTAAGACTGTAGTATCATGTCATGAAGAATAAAGAGTATTAAGACATAACATTTCATTTTTAAAGTCTAAAAATATAGAAAATAACCTTGTAAGTGTATTATGATTTATTCTAATTTGTGAATAACATGCCCCATTAAAGACTAAAATTTTGTGACAAAAGTATTATTCAAACTTAATTAAAAAGTCACACATTTAAAACACTAATTAGGAGTATAACATGAATTTTATTCATTAAGTATAAGAAAAGAAAGTGCTACTGATTATGATTTAGAGTTACCAAAGGTACAAAATGAATTCCTAAATCTGTAACCAATTAGTTTTAGAATTTTCCCAGAAAAATATCATATTGTTTTGATCTAATGTGTCCTTTTCTCCCACGTGGTAGTGAAAGTTTAGCAACAATAAGCTGAATATTAGTTAAGATATAGTAACAATAGTCATTGCTCATTACTTATACTAGTTATATCAGAATAGTGCTATGAACACTAAATTAGCTAATACCGAACATTTGTTCCTAGGGAAAATACTGTTAGGTTCCTGTGATTCTCTCATCACTGTATTTTCTTCAACTCATAAATATATAACCTTGTTTTTAATGTGCATTCTGTTTAAAGATACCTTGCTCAGAATTAATTATGAATTCAATAATATTGAATTCACACCCACTGGCACTCTAACTCCTGTCTGAATGGATTTCATCTAATGAATCTGTTTTCTGCATAATGCACATCACAAACTTCTGGCATGTAGGGACCCTAGACACCAGATATGGAAGCCTTCTGAGCACTAAAGTTGCCCAACAAATCTTTTATTGCTTCTGGGAAGATCCATGAATAGCCACAAGAGTTCCACTAGTATTGATTTTGGAGTACAAGTAAATTTTATCAAGTAGGTAAATTTGCAAATGCAAAATCCATAAACAGCAAGAATCTACTGTTTTGAGAGGTTTTTAGTTATGTACACGATTAACCTCAGATTTGGGCTCATATTTATTTTACCATTTACTTTATTCTGAACATTAGTAATATAGTACTTTACAATGTGTCCGATTATTGTAAAGAAACCCCATTGTTGGGAACATGAAATTAGGTGAATTTTCTGTTTTAGCTCTTTCTCCTTTCCCTTGTAGTTCCTCTTTTAGTTCTGCATGCCCCCTTCTTTCCCCTGCATTTCCTACTGTGTACAGGAGAGAGTACTAGATTAGAAATCAGGAGATATAGTTCCAACATTAACTTTGCTTTTACCTAAATGTAGAATTATGAACAATTTCTTTGGCCAAGCTGCATCTTATTTCCTTATCACCGTAGTACCTATGTTGTCTCCTATTACTTATTTACTTTAGACTGTATTACTGTTTATATGTCATTTTTAAAAAATTTATAGACACTAAAACAAATTATAGTACTAAAGATATCAATAATTTAATGCATAATATGAGTATAGAAAGTACAGATTTAATAGAAGCCCCAGAATTCAACGCAGTTTATTCCCTAAAATAGCAAAAATCTATCTGAAAAAGTATAAAGTGTTAAAGGAACTGGACAGAGCTGCAGTCCGCAAGGATGCCAATGTACAAACAACTAATTAAGCAATCAAACCAAGAAAAAATGTCCTATACAGTGGCAATAAAATTTAAAAAAGAAAACCTCAGAAATCCAATTACCAAGAAAGTTGCAAGAGTTGTTATGAAACTGCTGGTTAGTCTTACTTGTCTACCTGACTGGCTTGTGGGAGGCCTAGAGAATGAGTAAAGCTCACCTCTGAGTGTGTCTGGGTGGGTCACCGAGGCGGGACAAGACATCAGGCTAACATATTCAAATATCTATTCCATGTTCTAAAATTAACATGGAAAATAAATTAAAAATCCAGACAATATGTGAAAAAGAAAATGATAATGATAGAGTACTAGCCTTATACTTTATTAAAATTTAGTGCCAAGACGTGTAATGAAAACATCACGATACTGGAGATGGCCTATCTGTCACTTGCAGATACACAATAAATTTCTAATAGTTCTGAATTCTTTTCTGTTTCTTCATGCAAACATCATTCTAAAAATCATAACGAGTGAATTGCTTTCTGGTAGTTAGGTAACTTAGTGTTCAGTCCTTTTTTGGACTTTGGAGTTGGTACGTGGAAGTATAACTAAATGAGTGACTATAGAATCCAACCAGGCAACCATCCCACCCCCACCCCCTGCATAATGGGGACTGAATTTAGGGCCTTCATGAACAGCTACATCCCCAACCTGTTCTTTAATTATTTTTAATTTTGAGACAAGATTTTGCTAAGTTGCCAAGACTGGGCTTAAACTTGCACTTCTCCTGCCTCAGCCTCCCACATAGCTGAGATTACAGGCGTGGGCCCCCACATCACATCTGCCTTCAGCTTCTTTATGGTTGCTGTACACGAGCTCTAAACATATAAGAAGAGATAAGTTACAGCCATTTTCTTAAATAGGCTTATAGGTCACAGGGAAGACTCAGTGTTATACAAGTAGCTATTATTCAAAATAGTAGCTTTGATAAATTAAAAGAAGTAATAGTTCTTTCTGCCTGAAACTTGGAGCTGTATAAGTGCTTCAGAAGCAAAGATATTTTCGTGGGTCTCTAAAGTCTTTGGAGAATGAATGCAATTTTTGCAGGAAGAAAAGAAAAAGAGAAATCACTAGTTAAAACAGGAGGAAATGTTATTGCATATATTCAGGAATGAAAGAACAAAGGCCATGCAAGGAACTCTTCATGATTTGTCAAGAAGAGTGGACATGTGAAGGAAGCAGCAGAAACATCTGGAAAGATGAACTGGAAAGAAATTGTGAGAAATCTTGAATGTAGGGCTCAGGGATTGGTCATTTTTCTCCATACAAAAACAAATCATCCAAAGTTTTTAAACAAGAGTGGCATATGAAACACAGATACATGACTCATTTAGAAAGAATTTTATGAAGAATATAACTTAACATCCATACCTACCCTGGTGGGAATCCCAACCTATGCTAGCCATGGAGAATCTTCCTCTCCACTACTTACATACCTGAAGGTGCTTTGTGAGGGACAAACGATTTGTTGACATTAATGGAAAGCTTTCTTTTAAAAACTACTTTTCAAGCCAGGATGCACACTGGAATTATCAAAGGAGCTTTAAAAAAGACTGATGGCTGGAACTCACCCCTGGAGATCCACATTTCACTGGTCTGAGGAGGAGTCTAGGCACAGGGAGTTTTCAAAGGTTGCTACGTGGTTCTAGTAGACTTTGAGAACTGCCCTGAAATAGGAAACTCTTGTCCCTGCAATTCTCCACATCATTTTTCTTAAATATTAACATATCTGAAATATGGTTGCCACTTATAAGCCCTGTGAGTCTTTGATTTGGAGATCTTTTATCTTCTTCACTCCAAAATGCTCTTCGTAAATTTGTCTGCTTTAATAATGCATTGTATGAAATATAAAGCTGACAGTAACTTTTAACCAATGTAGCTTGTTTGTTGTTTGTTCTTCTATTTGTTATCCTGATATGATCCTCTTCTCACACTGAACTAGCCCCCATACTGTTTGCCATGGGATGTTTGACTCCGTGTTTTATTCCATGCTTACTCTCTTGCTCCATATGTCTTTTCCTTTCCTTTCCTTTCCCCTTCCTTCCTTCCTTTTTCTTTCTTTCCTTTTTTGGTTTTTTTTTTTTTTTTTTTTTGGATACCAGGGATTGAACTCAGGACTTTGCACTTGTGAGGCAGGTGGCAGAATCACTGAGCTAAATCCCCAGCCCTCAAGCATTTTAAAATTTCGTGTGTGAATATGAGAGTTTTTCCTCAAATAATGAAGAGCTATTTATATGTAAAATGATGCACACGGGGAAGTAGGAAGACCATGTTCAAATGGGAAAGGAAAGGAGGGGAGGGGAGGGGGGAGGGGAGGGGGGGGGGGGGGGGGGGGTGAGGCGGGGATTTAGCTCAGTGGTTCCGCCGCCTGCCTAGCAGCAAGCGCAAGATCCGAGTTCGATCCCTGGTACCATTAAAAAAAAGAAGAGAATGGAAGGAAACAGTGGAAACAAAGCTTTTGTAAATGGGGAGATGGGGGGGGATGGGGGAAAAGAATTAAGATATATTGTGGTACAAGTACAAATTCCTTATGATTCAAGTGATCCTTATGTATGACAAACATGTACTAACTAAATAAACCAGCAACAAAAAATACACAGATTTAGTTTTTATTTTATAAGATAGGGTTAGTCCTAACAATTGTTGCCTTATTAAAAGATTTCAATTCATGCTATGAGGTAATAATTTTTTAACCATTCAATTTAGTAAAATAGCAGAAAGGCTTATACAAAATACTGTCTCTGTTCCTGTGAAGAATGCCATATAGGGTAAAGATTCATCAGGCTGGAGGTTGAACCCCTCCCAGCTGTAGGATCTTCTGGTTCTCCCGTCAGAGGTAGTCTCAAGGTATTGTCTCAAGCCCAGTGCTCTGGCAAACTTGTATGTGCCAGCATTTTGAAGTGGATGAGTGATTCTCTCTTATCACGAAGTAAAGCAGGGTGGGAAGCATGGAGCACCAAAACTTCTCCTCTTTGATTCGCTCTATCACGTTCAGCAGGTTCAAGGTCAGCTGCCGCCTTTAATGATTCCCGTATTCCCTCCTGATCAACGGACGCTGGCTGCAGCTGCCCAGCAAGGATTCCTCCTTCCTCCTGGCTTCAGCTATAAGGCTGGATGCAGTAAGTACCATTGACTTTTCCTTCGGAAGTGGGAGGAGGGAATGGCTTTAATTTGGGCAATTTTATGTGACATGCCACACCAAGAAATGAGATCACATGCGCAGCATTTCGGCATTGTTATTTCATTTTAAAGAGGGAGCACACAGACCATGTGGAAAATGATTTATGTTGGTATTTATCAGAGCTTAGGTTATTTCTGTGCTCCTAAGCCAGTCCTTGCACTTTATAATTCACTTTCATCTCTTCTCTTTCCAATGTATTCTTAAAATATGATTGTAATTGTGGAGTTCATTTTATTGTTACATAGGCGTGATGGTAATATTTTTCTCAGTAGCTTTTCATTGCCACTATCATAAACTCAGATTCCTTATGTGAATTAGTTGACCCTGCCATTTGTCACCTGTGTCTCTTCACAGCTGCAATTCGCACTAGTCTTTCAGCTCTTAGCTCAAACCGTGCTCCTTCTCCATCATCAGTGTTTACTTTCTCTGGCGTCCTGGACTTCTTCCAGATCACATCAGGGAGTAGTTGCCTGGCCTATGCTAGGTCCCTTTCCAATGATTCCTTTGGATCCTGTACGTTTCTGTTTCATTTTAATTGTAAGCCTCGTGAGGTACTTGTTGATTCTATCTCGTTCATTGCTATATTTCACCTTACACTGCAATGCTCTACAATTCTTTAAATGAGTGAACATTCTTTATGAGCTGTAAAAAGGCCACTTTAGCACTAAGTCATAGGTTACACCAGGATATCTTGTTTATATTGCTTATCTACTTTAGAAACCTTTGATTTTATGCCTTTTCTTCTTCTATTCAAATCCAAATTGCATAGTGTTAGTTTTAAAAACAAAGTCCTCTTTTTACAAAGTCTAAGTAGCCAAATTGCCAGCTGTATTCTGTTGTAACTGATACTCCAAAGAGGGGCTAGACTTTTATGCTAAATATCTTAAAACATCGTTACTTGGGCAAGAGGGGCTATAGAAGAATACTACTGAAGTATTTTCATTGATGAAGTAGAACATTGTTGAAAATTAGTGAAATATTACCATCTTATATATTTATGTAGAATATCAGTTTTTAAATGTCACTGAAGTCCTGCCCCACATACATGTTAATAAATGGCCTGATTAACATCTTGCTCTGCTACTGCATTTAAGAAACTGTCCATCACTAGAAATCAATTCTTTCATGTGGTTCCTACTTGAATTTTTATATGTGAAATTTTAATACATATTCTTAGTCTTTAAAGCTTTCAAGTTGAAGAACTGGAGTGTTATTTTTAAAGCATACAAAGTAATAGGAGATGACTAGATTGTAAAACTGGTGTTCAAATAAAAGTGATCAGAGCACCAGTCTATAAAAATTTGTGCTTATGCGGTACTTTGTTCTTTGTCATTTTTGCACTGCTTTTGGAAACCTCTCTCTTGACTTTGGTTTCCTGGGTGTTACAATGGTGTTCTCACACTGAGCCCTTAATTTATTCATTTAGTATTATGTGCAGCATCATTCTAACCTTGCAGAAAATCATTCATCCAGACATACCAACGTTTTAAAATAAATACTGTACTGCATCTGAGTATTTTAAATTCTAAGTATATAATTCTGAAGTCTCTTGATACACTGAATTCTAAGTTTTTAGTCATAGAATAGTTTTTTTTTTGTTTTGTTTGCATTTTCCTAAGGAGTTACTTTTCACATTAGGCACACGTTGCCAATGTGTTTTGGGTAACCTTGGTTACTAAAATGAAAAGGAAAAGACACTTTAAAAAATCATTAGTTGCCTTAGACTGCACCTGTAATGTATACATATAGACCATTTCTCTTTTCAAAAAAAAAAGGTTTTTTTTTAAAGCAACTGCAGAAATAAGTCCCATTAGCAAATATTGTGCTGAAGAGAAAACCACACTGAGTGTGAACAATAGCATAACTGTAGGTCTGGAAGGGGTCAAGAACACTGCTGCCTCATTCCTATTTGACAGAGTTGGTTTACTAAATTTGTGCAGTGTCAATGTAATATGGCATGGAGATATTTTTCCCTTTCTAAAACTGTTAGTATATTAACCATTTAATATTTGCACTGTCAGTGCTTAAAGTTATAAATGACACCATTTTTGTAACCTTGCAAATAAAATAAAATAAAATTTTTAGTCCTGCTGGCAAGCTTGGAACTGAAATCATGCCATACTCTAGAATGAAGCAGAAGTCACTTGGGCACTTTGAGTCAGTTTAAATGTGGATCTGGGTAGGTGTGATAAGCGGTCCAAACAGTCCTCTTCTACTCACACTACAGGAAAGGAATAGAGGTAGACAAAGAAATCTCACCATCTCTTCCCTTCCACGGAACTTCCAGGCTGGCCATGAACTTGCTCTGTGCTCCAGGCTGGCCTCCAACTCTTGGCGATCCTCCTGCCTTGGCCTCCTGTGTGCTGGAATTACAGGTGTGTGCCACAACACCTGGCCAGTGAACACATCTTATTTTCAGAAAAAGATGCTAAGTTTAAATTGGACATAGAGATATTTTCCTTTTGTGAAGTGTGATCGTAGAAAACATCACATTGTACAACATCTCAGTGCAGTGGAGATATCCAGAATAAAGCTGTCGGCCCTTTCTTCCCTGCTAGAATGCACACCGTTAATCAATATAATAAACTAACAGCAGCACAGCCAGAGACTATAAAGCTCATGACTAGCTTTAAATAATGTGGTCCACTCTTACCCAGGACCATGTTGACCAGTTGGTAAATATTGAGATATTAATACCAGAAACTCAAATTCGGTTTGGACATTTGACATTAAAAGAATAAAGCACAAAACACTGATCTTTATGGATCTATATCTAGTTACTGTTTCCTACTTGTTTCTTAAAAATCTTAACATACTTGCAAACTTCTGAGGAAATTAAACATCATAATTAATATTTTAATATCCTCCATGTATATGTAGAGAACATAAAAATAATTATGTAAAAGCACTAATTTGACTAGTTAACTGCATTCTGAGACCAATTCATTCAGGAAAAAATTTGGCTAAATAATCTGTATTTGTAACTTGTCAGTTCCTTTTAAAACTATTAACGAGGTTGCTATAAACACATATTTTCATAACACATAATTAAAAATTTCCATTATAAATTATATTTGTGGATGCCTCACTCATTTTAGTCAGAAAACAATCTTGACTGCCCTTTAAATAAATTTGCAAGTAAGCAAGGCTTCTGAATGATAAAATGACCAGAGGTGGAAATGAATTGCTCAGAATGCACTTCGCATGGTTGAAGCGTCCAGGGACGTAATCCATTTGCTGCCAGAGTAGAATCCTAACCAGTTAACCCAAGATTTCTATGTGTGAGCTGGGGAATTGGTGTCACACACGTATTTTGGAAATAAAACTTTAGTGCCTTTGATGTGTGCAGAATAATTTCATATTTAGGGAGTATAGCACTTTTGTGTTTGCTTATCTTAGAAAAGTTCTACTTTATAAGGAGAAAAAATAAGATTACTGACATTGAGAAATGGGAAGAAAGGAGCAAAAGGTATAGGGAAGGTGGGACGGGTAGGGGAAGGGTAATAAGGGAAAAGAAAAAAATGTGAGAGAATGAAAAGATGGAAATAAAGTGGTTCTAGATGGGGAGGAGAGGAGGGGGTGAAGGGAGGGCAGGGACAAGGGGAAAAAATGAGAATCAAGACTTGTCATGTAGAGGTACAAGATCCCAACAATGAATGTAACTGTACTGTATCCCTAAAATGCACCAATAAACTCAATTAAAGCTGAAAAAAATATAAGGAGAAAAAAAATTTTGAATGTGCTTATTCATGTTAGCTTAATACTTTAGGCTTCAGAGAGCCTTTTGAGGTAGTATGGTTGAAGAGTGTCAGTTGGGTCGGTACCACTTTGTCTCTCAGTATGGCCATCTCTGCAGCACACAGCTTCCTCAGAGTCCACGCTCAGGTCAACAGATGCTCCTTCATAGCACACATTTTAGAAAAGGAAATGAGAGGCATCAGCGCTTCTCTTACTGGTGACTGCAGCCTTCTGCTCCTGTCTTTTCTGTTTGGCTGTAAAATCACTACTCGTATAATTGTTATAGTTACTGTTGATGCTTTAGAAATTTTGACAGGGATTCATTTTATGTAGAAAGAAAAAAATCTTTTGGAAAATCAAGATCCAATAAAATAGTCCATTTTCTATATGTAGTATAAAATAAACAGTTGTAAAGGAGCTAATTTGATAGTTTAGCCCAAGGGGTCAAACCGAGTGTGTCACATAGCTGTAGATAGAGTCTTATCCCAGTAGATGAGCAGCGCCTGGTGCCACAGTTCCCAGACTGTGTGCCAGGGTTCCCAGATTGCTGGCACTAATTCTTAGAGCCACGTGGGCTATTGTAAAATTTAAAGGAAAATACAGAGGAATTTATGGCATACTATGTACAGTATCATAGTTAAGTTGTTCGAAATTACTTACATAATAAACTTGAGTGCTTGGGTATTTCTTTTGTCCTAAGGGTACCATAAAAAAAAATCACTGAGCCTCTGATAGTGCCTTAGTCCAAGAAGATTTGAGAACTCTCCACTTACTCTAGTATATATTTGTCCTAAAAAGTTATGGTGACATTTTTAACCTGGAAGGTATTATCATTCACCTGTCATCTTGTCAACCACAGAACAGAATGTTATAGCAGCATTTATTTTGCATTTACAGGACTAGGTACCGCATCAGAACGGATCCATTTAGTCTACACTAATTGATTCTTCCATCTATGTGATTTCAAGCGTCTAGTTTTGTTGGTATTTTTGTTTGTTTTGTTTCCGTGTAATCAACCCAGACTTTTGAAATAGGCAACTACAGATTGAGTGGTGCTTCAGAGGAGAGAGTTGGAATTAGGCTTTGTTAATTCTGCTATTTTGATTATTCTTATTAAAGTTACGGAGCATCAGTTGCTGCATACCTGAAATGGTTTAAAGAAAACTCATTTTACTGAGTAAGTGAAATTATCAACAGTAT